GTCCTCACACTCGGCTGTTCCGGGACCGTCCTCACACTCGGCTGTTCTGGAAAGACGTTTCTTGTTTGTGAATAGAAAGTTAGAACTTGACCAACCATTTGACACTAAAACTATTCTGTTTGGGTTTTTTTGTTTGAATATTCCTAGTAAGAAAGTTTTTGTTGCAAATTTAATACTAATATTAGCCAAATTTCATATCCACAGCTGTAAATTTGCCACGCTAAAACCTAGATTTATAGTTTTTTCTACTTATCTTTCTTTGTATATGTCTACTTTAAAGTATTGTACCAAAGCAAAAGCCATAAAAACTAAAACACTAACAAATTCATATTGTAAACTGCCCAAAACATAATTTCATGTTATCATTTACTTATATTTTTCTTTTTTGTTACGCCTGCATTAAGTCTGGAGCTGTGTGCCATTGTAGTTAGTTTTTTTTTTGTATTTGTCTTGTAGGTTTTTTTTGTACTTGTTTCGTATAAATAAAAATAAATAAAAAATTTAAAAAAAAAATCTCTGAATTATCAAAAATAATAGCCAACATCCAAACCACCCACATGTCTGCTAGATCCCATCCTAACCAGGCTGTTTAAAGAGGTATTACCTTTAAAAACCACGTCTTGGATCTGCTTAATTTGTCTGTAATAAATGGTTACATACCACAGAGCTTTAAGATAGCTGTAGTTAAACTGTTACTTAACATAACCTTCACTCAGGAATCCTAGCCAATTATAAACCTACCGTATTTTTCGGACTATACGCCGCACTTAAAATCCTTTAATTTTCTCAACAACAAAAAAAAAAAATCGAGTGTAAGCCTTATAATACAGTGCACCTTATGCATTAATTCTGGTTGTGCTTACTGACCTCAAACCAATTTTATGTAGAAAAACTGAACAATGTTGAGTTATTGTGGATGAGTTGAATAAAGTTTGACTTATCTGACAGTTTCGTTTCGCTTAATGTGCCTTATGTATGAAAACGGACTGATTCCTTGATATTGCTCCTTGTAATCCAGTGTGCCTTATAGACTGAAAAATACGGTACAGGTCCTTCTCAAAAAATTAGCATATTGTGATAAAGGTCATTATTTTCCATAATGTAATGATAAAAATGAAACTTTCATATATTTCAGATTCATTGCACACCAACTGAAATATTTCAGGTCTTTAATTGTTTTAATACTGATGATTATGGCATACAGCTCATGAAAACCCAAAATGCCTGTCCCAAAAAATTAGCATATCATGGTGGCAACAGCATCATGGAGAAGAACAAGCTATTAACCTAACCATCTGAATCAACGACGCAACTCTAAACACCTGCAAAAGATTCCTGAGGCTTTTAAAAACTCCCAGCCTTGTTCATTACTCAAAACCGCAATCATGCGTAAGACTGCCGACCTGACTGCTGTCCAGAAGGCCATCATTGACACCCTCAAGCAAGAGGGTAAGACACAGAAAGAAATTGCTGAACGAACAGGCTGTTCCCAGAGTGCTGTATCAAGGCACCTCAGTGGGAAGTCTGTGGGAAGGGAAAAGTGTGGCAGAAAACGCTGCACAACGAGAAGAGGTGACCGGACCCTGAGGAGGATTGTGGAGAAGGGCCGATTCCAGACCTTGGGGGACCTGCGGAAGAAGTGGACTGAGTCTGGAGTAGAAACATCCAGAGCCACCGTGCACAGGCGTGTGCAGGAAATGGGCTACAGGTGCCACATTCCCCAGGTCAAGTCACTTTTGAACCAGAAACAGCGGCAGAAGCGCCTGACCTGGGCTACAGAGAAGCAGCACTGGACTGTTGCTCAGTGGTCCAAAGTACTTTTTTCGGATGAAAGCAAATTTTGCATGTCATTCGAAAATCAAGGTGCCAGAGTCTGGAGGAAGACTGGGGAGAAGGAAATGCCAAAATGCCAGAAGTCCAGTGTGAAGCACCCACAGTCAGTGATGGTCTGGGGTGCCATGTCAGCTGCTGGTGTTGGTCCACTGTGTTTTATCAAGGGCAGGGTCAATGCAGCTAGCTATCAGGAGATTTTGGAGCACTTCATGCTTCCATCTGCTGAAAAGCTTTATGGAGATGAAGATTTCATTTTTCAGCACGACCTGGCACCTGCTCACAGTGCCAAAACCACTGGTAAATGGTTTACTGACCATGGTATTACTGTGCTCAATTGGCCTGCCAACTCTCCTGACCTGAACCCCATAGAGAACCTGTGGGATATTGTGAAGAGAAAGTTGAGAGATGCAAGACCCAACACTCTGGATGAGCTTAAGGCCGCTATCGAAGCATCCTGGGCCTCCATAACACCTCAGCAGTGCCACAGGCTGATTGCCTCCATGCCACGCCGCATTGAAGCAGACATTCATGCAAAAGGATTCCCGACCAAGTATTGAGTGCATAACTGAACATGATTATTTGAAGGTTGGTGTTTTTTGTATTAAAAACACTTGTCTTTCATTGGTGGGATGAAATATGCTAATTTTTTGGGACAGGCATTTTGGGTTTTCATGAGCTGTATGCCATAATCATCAGTATTAAAACAATTAAAGACCTGAAATATTTCAGTTGGTGTGCAATGAATCTGAAATATATGAAAGTTTCATTTTTATCATTACATTATGGAAAATAATGACATTCATCACAATATGCTCATTTTTTGAGAAGGACCTGTATATCTTAGATCCTTGTACACTGGTTCTTTTTATACTTTATATTTTTGCTATTTTGGGGTGTAACTGGGACCTTGAGTACACAATTTTGTTCCACTTCATGTACCACATGTGATGAGAATGACAAAGAACCTTGAATATTTTAGTTATAAAATGTCTGGTGGCATCTAAAACTACATTCTCATTGTGAAGCATGGTGGCAACAGCATCATGGAGAAGAGATTAAAAAAAAAATCTTTGTTTTCCTGCTAATTTGACTAGCGTATACTCCTAGAAAGGATGACAGTTGTTGCTAAATGAACCACTTGGAATTATTTTTCTCTTCTTTTTGGAGTTGCTCCTTTTTTCAGGGGGTTCCACAGCAAACTAACTTGTACAAAGACTTGGAAATTGTTTTTATGCCAGATGACCTTCCTGACACAACCACAGAGCTATCACAGCCATCTGTGTGGAGCAGAGAGCTGTAATCTAGAGAACCTGGTGGAGAAGATGGTTGGGGTTTAATGTCCTTGCTCAAGGGCCCAGAGTGGGGAAAAATGGTGGAGGCAGGTGCCTCATCTTTCCCACCCACATTTTGATGTGGAAACATGGGTTTACCATTTACCTAGCCTCATGTGAAACATGAGGCTAGGTAAATGGGAAAAGCGGATACCAAAGCTTAGTGGAGGAATAAAATTACCAGCATGATAGTGGTGGCCAACGCTCTGGTTTTGTCACACATCCTCTTCAGCTGCTTCACTGGACCCATCAGAAACATTGTACTGTTGGACAAAATGTAGAACATTAAGATTCTGTCTACCAAATGCCTTTAAGTAGTTATTTTTCACAAGAAACTCATGCCCACACAAATGTTAAATCACTGTTTTGACTTTTACCTGCAAAGAGCACATATGTTTCCAAAGGTGTAAAAGACAATGAAGAGAGTGAGACCGATCCTGGGCAGGAAGAGGGCACACACTCCCTGGAAACACAAGACGGCAGCGAGTCCTCGTGAATCACTTCAGTTTAAGGAAGGGTTTTGCATCATATCCTCCACATTCCTCTGAGCAAGAATAACCAGTAAGACCACACCAGCTCTGCCTGGACTCTCCTGTAACTAGCAGAGCAACAATCTGTTCCTAAAACGGTCATCACCATGAAATAATCACCAAAATTGTGCATGCAGCTCCCACCACGAAACAGGCGACGAAGCCCTTTATGCGTGTGGCCCAGCTTAAAGACGAGGCTTCCTTCACGGTCTAGGAAGAAAAAGTTGTCACTAAATGCTCAACTGACAACCCAGCAGGCGTTTCAGGCAATAACATGGAAAGTTTCATGGTTTTCTTTTTACCTGTAAAACGTTTCTGTCCTCTCTTCGTGCCTCCTCACCACTTAAAACAGATTTTAATTTATCCATAACTCTAAGATCCTCAAAAGGCAGCTGGCAGGAAAATAAATGAAAAACTTTTTCTGAGCTTCCTCAGCTCAGAGTCAATGGAGTACGTCACATTCCTGCGAGAGTCAGCTGGAGGAGCTGTCACCGGCTCACCTGGCCAGGTGTGTGAGCGCATGCAGCACAGCGATGAAGAGGTCTCACTCTGTGGTGGTTTGTTTCAGTCCACATGGGCACGCGCCTTGTTTACTGGGTTTTATGTCATTTTGTACAAATAAACATGGACATTTAAGTAGAACGAGTTTATTTTAGTCCCTCTTAGCTTTGTGGTGATTTATGGACATTATTACAGTTTAAACAGGTTTTTTTCCAGCAGTTTTTCAAAACATTCAAAACATTGTATAACACATTGTTTTAAACATTAAAGATGAAAGAATATATTTGTCAAACATTTCTTTCAGTTTTGATTTTTTTTTTATCTAAGACTGTAAAAATCAAAACCTGCTTAACACCACAGTTTGCCAAGTTTTAAAGATGGTACAGTTTATTAATGTGGAGCCACGTTTCAATGACTGGGTGTGTAATCTTCTTTACTACAGAGGATCTTAACTCGAGCTCATTCAATGCATAGTTCCCACACACCTGATGGGTATTGCGCAATACCAGGTTTTCTGCCATTTGTTGAGCCACATGTGAAGAAGATGCTTACAGACAGACCAGAGCTCAGGATATTGATTCTCTTGACCAAGAGCAAGATATAGGCATAAAATAGCTGCGGTCCCTATGAGGTGGAGAAAGAAATGATGTCAGACGGAACAGACAAGTTGTCACAGAGAAGTTACTCTGATATCGTTAAGTATTAGTGAACACGAGGAGTGCTACAACGGAGGAGCTTCACAGCTTTAAATCCACGGATGCTCATAATCAAGCAAGCTGCTGTAGCAATCTTTAATGTTGAACAAGCTACAGCAGCTTGTTCAACATTAAAGATTGCTGTTATTTACTGTAGCAATGATTCTGATGCATGCTCAATAATCCAGGTAGAAAAATCCAAAAAAGTTCAATCTGGTCCTCTGGACATTTAAAAAAAAACAAAAAAACAAAGCAAAAAAAATGTAGAAACGTTTCATCTCTCATCCAAGAGACTTCCTCAGTCTGAGGAGCTGTATTCAGCTCAGTCTCTTAAATAGCACCTTCTCAGAGTGGATCAACCAGTTTTGCTGCTGACAACCAAAACC